GAAATATATCAATGGAAGAGCTGAAGTTGTGACGTCTCGCGTCGGGATCTTCAATAATTGTGACATTTAATAATACATCACTGGGACACTATTGTTTTTGTTTTTGTTTTTTATACTTTCCAATGAGGCATCCAATTGCTATGCGAGGCGATGGGTTGTGTGTTTTTTATACTTCAATATAGATTTTAGAAATATATATATACTTCTTCTTCTTTCTTTTCTTCTTTCTTTCTTTTTTTATTATCATTTTTTTTCTTTTTTTTCTTTTTTTTTCTTTTTAATCGCGTCATTCTTTTCGTTGCTGTCATAAGCTTCACGCCTCTCCATATACATGTTCATTCCGGGTTGCAGTCTGGTTAGGGGAGAGTGGGTGTCGTCGCTCGTTCCTTTGGTCTTGTATACACGTCGCCGAAGAACCAGAGGACGGTGTAGGCTCGTGGGTGTCTTGGTAGTGTAGGATGGGGACGAGGGTAAGGCTACGGCGGAAATGGATATGGATTTTTTCTACACATATACAACAGCTAATCAATTTCTTTTTATCTTTTCAACATCTCTATCTTTATCTCTATCTCTGTCTCTCTCTTATTTTCCTTCCCTGACTCTCCCCTCTTTCAAGATACTCGCGGCAATACCCTATCGGACTTTCTTCAAACCAAGCTTCCTCTACCCACTTGAAACAAAAGGAACTTCTTAGTTTACGCACGGAGGAAGTCACCACAATTCTTCCGAGTGAGGTAACGTGATCAATGTCGCCTACCTACAGAAAAGCCCATGCAAAGAAAACACAATACCGTATTTCTTCCACAAAAGCCTATGATGACCACTCAGAGTTATCTTTCAAATGGAGAGCTAACTCTGAAACTGGAGCCTCTCGTCTGCTGGAATCAGTGGAATTCCTAGTCATCTGGAATAGCAGTCGTCTGTATTGTTTTGAGGTGATCGATTATCGAAGATAAAATTACATTGCAACATTTCCGTGGATATATTTTCACGCACATATATACAAAAATATTACACGCACATGCACACGCATACACACACACACACACATACACACACGCGCGCGCACATACATACACAGTGTTATCAGCTTTCACTTCTAACGCTTCCTTTGGTTACAAAAGTCTGAAGGACTAAAAATACCTTTACGCGTGTACCGCTTCACTTACCAAATATGACTCGAGACAAAGAATGCCTCATGAAACCTTCACAACGGTCACTATCTACTCTCATAGCTGCGTGGCGTCTTTCTCCTTCCTCTGCTTGGCACCTACATTCCTTGGCCTCTCTCAGGATTTAGTCGCTCGCGCTTGCAGGATTTCGCCTGCGACCAAGAAGGACCAGGATGGCCAGCAACTGATCCTACTTGAAGACGTCCTTGTTCTTCCTTCAGTAGAATCTCTTTCTTGGTGATCCTTGTCTAAATCTAGCAGATTATCCCCCTCCTACTGATGCTTCTGTGAGGTCTATTTCATTCTGTTTAGTAAGATGTTTCTATACCCAGAACATTCCGCATTGTGTTGGCTTAATAAAAAAAATAAATAAATAAATAAATAAAATCAAATACAGCTCTAGGAAATGAAACTTATTTTTAGAATAGATGAATCAACTTTATTCCCTCGATCGCTTTGGTAATGTTTTGGTTTGAAGATCACAAAGTAGTCTAAAAGTAGTTCCTCGATGGAGGCGCCGCAGCTGCCGCCTGCCTCTGGAACGTGTTGAAGAACTCCTGCTTGGCGGCGGCGACTTCGGGGGTGTCGGCGACCTGGGGGGCGGAGCCTGGGAGTCCGGCGGGGACGGTGGCTGCCACGGGGCCGGTCCACTTGGGCTGGACTGGGGCGGCACGAACCGCTGGAGCAGGGCTGTAGGCCGGGGCGAAGGAGGGGAACGGCAGGCGCTGCACCAGCTGTGGCCCTGACCTGGGCGTTGTAGGCGTTGAGGAAGGCGGTGCGGGCGGCAGCCACCTCGTGGGTGTCGCCCACGGGGGTGATGGTGCCGTCGACGCCGGCGGGGACGGTGGCAGCCACGGGTCCATACCACTGGGGCTGGGCGGCGGGCGAGGGGCGGTGGGCGGCGGGCGGGGCGGTGGATGGCCTGCTGGGGAGTGGCAGCAACCTGAGCAGCACGGAAGCTCTGGAAGAAGTGCTTTCTCAGCCTGCACTTCGGGCGTGTCCTGGATGAAGGGGACAGCCGAGCACACTCCCAACACTGCCAGAAGAACCTGCGAACAAAGCTTCGTCTCTTACAATCACTCAAACGCACACACATGCACATGAACTTTTCCTTATCATACATCACATCCTTATTTCTTTTACGAAAAGAATTTAATCAAAAAGAAATCATAGTTTGAGGTGTAATTGCCAGCTTAAATCTCCTTTTTATCTATCTTAGTGAACACATGCTGCAACTGATTACCAGAACCCTCATGTTGTTTTCCTGATCGAAGACCCAACTGCACTGAGCCAAGAATCCCTCTGCCTTTATATACACGAAACGAAGGTCAGGCAAAGTCAGCGAGGCAAAGAACAGCCAACTCTTCTTGTGCTTTCCTGCTTGGCCACATCCTCAGACGTGGTCCAGTTTGAAGCACTTTTTTTATCTACGGTGTTATAAACGGTAATTACAGGAAAGAACATCTTGTTTCACGCCAGGAAAACACTGGAGGATGTATATAACATAACATTGGCTTTACCGTTCGTTAACTGTTATCATCATAACCAATGGAAATAGAAGCAATATTAGTTTAATTTGTTATTCTTTGATGTATATTTATGTGTCTGTGGATCAGTTGGAAAGTACAATCAAATCAAACAATTAAGGTCATATTTACATAGGTTTCCTAAATGAATTAGCCATTAATCACTATCTGTTCATACTTGTTTTAGAAAAAGAAAAAAAAAAAAAAAAAGAAAGGGAAGGAGCCTGATCCATTTCATTTTTCACTGAACCACAAATCATACAAACGCTGCATTTAGTAGCAAAAAAAAATGTAGCTTTGTTTAGATTCTTTCACCCAAAAATAAGGGAGTTAAGATGAAAAGAAAGAAGGAACCAGATCCATTTCATTTTTCATTCAACCACTAAGCTTACAAACACTGCATTTTGTAGTAAAAAAAAAAAAAAATGTTGCTCTGTTTTACCATTCTTTGGTTCTGTTTAGATTCTTTCGCTCCAAAATAAGGGAGTTAAGATATTTTCTAATTCATTTTCCCTTATAAGGAGAGCGTCTACATAACGCTTCTATACTTGGCCATCAACAATGCAAGTCATACATAGAAATCATATACCAGACATGAGTGTATCATAAATCCCAAGTTAAAAGATTATATCATATAGATCATCCCTATAACTACAGACAAGCACACAGGCATTACATTTTGCAGAAATAGGTTTGGAATTGGTGTTGCAATAATCTTTTAATTGTTTCGATTCATTTATATTTCTAATTCACCTTATTTTATGAGCGCTTAAATAGCATTTGTGTAATTAGAATAACATGTAACAAGTGTAAGTATAAGCATAAACAAGAACATGTAACAAGTGTGAGTAATTCGTAAATTTCACGTTAATTAATAACTTAATATCTGATTTAGTCAAATATTCCTGCAAGCCTGTACTCTCACGTATCCTTAATCTTGCTCTGTACTCTGTAGGCACAGATATCCAGACAAATAAAACGTATACATTCTATCTGTTACTGTACCCTCTACAGTGTTATTTGTATGTTTGATATTCTATCTATCGCTCTCTCTCTCTCTCTCTCTCTCTCTCTCTCTCTCTCTCTCTCTCTCTCTCTCTCTCTCTCTCTCTCTCTGTTTGTCAGTTAATCTCTTTCTGCCTCGTTCTATCCATCTATATATCCATCGCTATGTCTATCTACCTAGTTAGCTGTCTTTTAATCAATCTGTCCACTCGCCTTTCTCTTTATTTGTCTATCCTATGTCTTTCTACTTATCTATCTATCTATCTATATTATATATATATATATATATATATATTATATATATATATATATATATATATATATATATATATATCTGTATAAATCTATCTACGTCTATATAGTGTATATGCGTGTGTCCATATTAAACAGCAAGGGGTAATTTAAAACAAAATAAGTAAAATTGCATTTATTCTCATAAATTAAGATCTTTAGAAGTAGTTCCTTGATGGAGGCGCCGCAGCTGCCGCCTGCCTCTGGAACGTGTTGAAGAACTCCTGCTTGGCGGCGGCGACTTCGGGGGTGTCGGCGACCTGGGGGGCGGAGCCTGGGAGTCCGGCGGGGACGGTGGCTGCCACGGGGCCGGTCCACTTGGGCTGGACTGGGGCGGCAGGAACCGCTGGAGCAGGGCTGTAGGCCGGGGCGAAGGAGGGAACGGCAGGCGCTGCACCAGCTGTGGCCCTGACCTGGGCGTTGTAGGCGTTGAGGAAGGCGGTGCGGGCGGCAGCCACCTCGTGGGTGTCGCCCACGGGGTGATGGTGCCGTCGACGCCCGCGGGGACGGTGGCAGCCACGGGTCCATACCACTGGGGCTGGGCGGCGGGCGAGGGGCGGTGGCGGCGGGGGGGGGGCGGTGGATGGCCTGCTGGGGAGTGGCAGCAACCTGAGCAGCACGGAAGCTCTGGAAGAAGCGTGCTTTCTCAGCCTGCACTTCGGGCGTGTCCTGGATGAAGGGGACAGCCGAGCACACTCCCAACACTGCCAGAAGAACCTGCGAACAAAGCTTCGTCTCTTACAACACTCAAAAACACACATATGCATACATTTTCCTATAAATCACTTTTATCAATTTTTCAAAAATTTTAAACAAAATTGCCAGCTTAAATCTTTTATTATCTTAGTGAACACATGCTGCAACTGATTACCAGAACCCTCATGTTGTTTTCCTGATCGAAGACCCAACTGCACTGAGCCAAGAATCCCTCTGCCTTTATATACACGAAACGAAGGTCAGGCAAAGTCAGCGAGGCAAAGAACAGCCAACTCTTTCTTGTGCTTTCCTGCTTGGCCACATCCTCAGACGTGGTCCAGTTTGAAGCACTTTTTTTTATCTACGGTGTTATAAACGGTAATTACAGGAAATAACATCTTGTTTCACGCCAGGAAAACACTGGAGGATGTATATAGCATAACATTGGCTTTACCGTTCGTTAACTGTTATTGTCATAAACAATGGAGATAGAAACAATATTAGTTTAATTTGTTATTCTTTTATATTTATGTGTCTGTGGATCAGTTGGAAAGTACAATCAAATCAAACAATTAAGGTCATATTTACATAGGTTTCCTAAATGAATTAGCCATTAATCACTATCTGTTCATACTTGTTTTAAAAAAAAAAAAAAAAAAGGAAGGAGCCTGATCCATTTCATTTTCACTGAACCACAAATCATACAAACGCTGCATTTAGTAATAAAAGTAGCTCTGTTTAGATTCTTTCACCCAAAATAAGGGAGTTTAAAATGAAAAGAAAGAAAGAACCTGATCCATTTAATTTTTCATTCGATCACAAAGCAATTTAATTTTCATTCGATCACAAACCTGATCCATTTTCTTTTTCATTAACCCACCAAGCTTGCAAACACTGCATTTTGTAGTAAAAAAAAAAAAAAAAATGTTCTGTTTTACCATTCTTTGGTTCTGTTTAGATTCTTTCGCTCCAAAATAAGGGAGTTAAGATATTTTCTAATTCATTTTCCCTTATAAGGAGAGCGTCTACATAACGCTTCTATACTTGGACATCAACAATGCAAGTCATACATAGAAATCATATACCAGACATGAGTACAACATAAATCCCGTTAAAAGATTATATCATATAGATCATCCCTATAACTACAGACAAGCACACAGGCATTACATTTTGCAGAAATAGGTTTGGAATTGGTGTTGCAATAATCTTTTAATTGTTTCGATTCATTTATATTTCTAATTCACCTTATTTTATGAGCGCTTAAATAGCATTTGTGTAATTAGAATAACATGTAACAAGTGTAAGTATAAGCATAAACAAGAACATGTAACAAGTGTGAGTAATTCGTAAATTTCACGTTAATTAATAACTTAATATCTGATTTAGTCAAATATTCCTGCAAGCCTGTACTCTCACGTATCCTTAATCTTGCTCTATACTCTGTAGCACAGATATCCAGACAAATAAAACGTATACATTCTATCTGTTACTGTACCCTCTACAGTGTTATTTGTATGTTTGATATTCTATCTATCGCACTATCGATTTATGCTTTTTTCTCTCTATCAATTTGTCAGTTATATCTCTCTTTCTGCCTCGTTCTATCCATCTATATATCCATCGCTATGTCTATCTACCTAGTTAGCTGTCTTTTAATCAATCTGTCCACGCCTTCTCTTTATTTGTCTATCCCTATGTCTTTTCTACTTATCTAACTGTCTAGACACATATATATATATATATATATATAATATATATATATATATATATATATATATATATGTATGTATGTATATCAATCTTTCTGTATAAATCTATCTACATCTATATAGTGTATATGCGTGTGTCCATATTAAACAGCAAGGGGTAATTTAAAAACAAAATAAGTAAATTGCATTTATTCCTCATAAATTAAGATTTTTAGAAGTAGTTCCTTGATGGAGGCGCCGCAGCTGCCGCCTGCCTCTGGAACGTGTTGAAGAACTCCTGCTTGGCGGCGCGGCGGGGGGTGTCGGCGACCTGGGGGGCGGAGCCTGGGAGTCCGGCGGGACGGTGGCTGCCACGGGCCGGTCCACTTGGGCTGGACTGGGGCGGCACGAACCGCTGGAGCAGGGCTGTAGGCGGGGCGAAGGAGGGAACGGCAGGCGCTGTCCAGCTGTGGCCCTGACCTGGGCGTTGTAGGCGTTGAGGAAGGCGGTGCGGGCGGCAGCCACCTCGTGGGTGTCGCCCACGGGGGTGATGGTGCCGTCGACGCCGGCGGGGACGGTGGCAGCCACGGGTCCATACCACTGGGCTGGGCGGCGGGCGAGGGGCGGTGGGCGGGGCGGGGGCGGTGGATGGCCTGCTGGGGAGTGGCAGCAACCTGAGCAGCACGGAAGCTCTGGAAGAAGCGTGCTTTCTCAGCCTGCACTTCGGGCGTGTCCTGGATGAAGGGGACAGCCGAGCACACTCCCAACACTGCCAGAAGAACCTGCGAACAAAGCTTCGTCTCTTACAATCACTCAAACGCACACACATGCACATGAACTTTTCCTTATCATACATCACATCCTTATTTCTTTTACGAAAAGAATTTAATCAAAAAGAAATCATAGTTTGAGGTGTAATTGCCAGCTTAAATCTCCTTTTTATCTATCTTAGTGAACACATGCTGCAACTGATTACCAGAACCCTCATGTTGTTTTCCTGATCGAAGACCCAACTGCACTGAGCCAAGAATCCCTCTGCCTTTATATACACGAAACGAAGGTCAGGCAAAGTCAGCGAGGCAAAGAACAGCCAACTCTTCTTGTGCTTTCCTGCTTGGC